CCTCTTAAGAGTTTTTGCGCACTTTCCTACACCCTGGACAAAACAGTGGACCCACAGGGTCAGGTGAGCTTTAGTGTCAGGTGGGCTGCAGGTTCAGGTCTGATGTCGTTCACTTTAGTTGATGAGATTCTTTGCTTTAATGTGACAACAAAAGAAATGTTCAAAAAGAGTCTGAAAGGAGGTAAGAAAGACGAGCCGCCACTCTGAGCTCCATAATCCTGCTGCTATTGTGAACAGGTGAGAAACAGATCTGAGTGAGAGAGAGAGTCAGACAGGTATAGTCAGACAGGTAGAGACAGACAGGTAGAGTCAGACAGGTAGAGTCAGACAGGTAAAGTCAGACAGGTAGAGACAGACAGGTAGAGACAGACAGGTAGAGTCAGACAGGTAGAGTCAGACAGGTGTAAAGACAGACAGGTAGAGTCAGACAGGTAGAGACAGACAGGTAGAGTCAGACAGGTGTAGAGACAGACAGGTAGAGTCAGACAGGTAGAGTCAGACAGGTGTAGAGACAGACAGGTAGAGACAGACAGGTAGAGTCAGACAGGTAGAGACAGACAGGTAGAGACAGACAGGTGTAGAGTCAGACAGGTAGAGTCAGGCAGGTAGAGTCAGACAGGTAGAGTCAGACAGGTAGAGTCAGACAGGTGTAGAGACAGACAGGTAGAGACAGACAGGTAGAGTCAGACAGGTAGAGACAGACAGGTAGAGTCAGACAGGTAGAGACAGACAGGTAGAGACAGACAGGTGTAGAGTCAGACAGGTAGAGTCAGACAAGTGTAGAGACAGACAGGTGTAGAGTCAGACAGATAGAGTCAGACAGGTAGAGACAGACAGGTAGAGTCAGACAGGTGTAGAGACAGACAGGTAGAGTCAGACAGGTAGAGTCAGACAGGTGTAGAGTCAGACAGGTAGAGACAGACAGGTAGAGACAGACAGGTGTAGAGTCAGACAGGTAGAGTCAGGCAGGTAGAGTCAGACAGGTGTAGAGACAGACAGGTAGAGTCAGACAGGTAGAGTCAGACAGGTGTAGAGACAGACAGGTAGAGACAGACAGGTAGAGTCAGACAGGTAGAGACAGACAGGTAGAGTCAGACAGGTAGAGACAGACAGGTAGAGACAGACAGGTGTAGAGTCAGACAGGTAGAGTCAGACAGGTAGAGACAGACAGGTGTAGAGTCAGACAGATAGAGTCAGACAGGTAGAGTCAGACAGGTGTAGAGACAGACAGATGTAGAGTCAGACAGATAGAGTCAGACAGGTAGAGACAGACAGGTAGAGTCAGACAGGTAGAGTCAGACAGGTAGAGACAGACAGGTAGAGACAGACAGGTAGAGTCAGACAGGTAAAGTCAGACAGATAGAGTCAGACAGGTAGAGACAGACAGGTAGAGTCAGACAGGTATAGTCAGACAGGTAGACAGGTAGAGTCAGACAGGTAGAGTCAGACAGGTAAAGTCAGAAAGGTAGAGACAGACAGGTAGAGACAGACAGGTAGAGTCAGACAGGTGTAGAGACAGACAGGTAGAGTCAGACAGGTAGAGTCAGACAGGTGTAGAGACAGCCAGGTAGAGACAGACAGGTAGAGTCAGACAGGTAGAGACAGACAGGTAGAGTCAGACAGGTAGAGACAGACAGGTAGAGACAGACAGGTGTAGAGTCAGACAGGTAGAGTCAGGCAGGTAGAGTCAGACAGGTGTAGAGACAGACAGGTAGAGTCAGACAGGTAGAGTCAGGCAGGTAGAGTCAGACAGGTGTAGAGACAGACAGGTAGAGACAGACAGGTAGAGTCAGGCAGGTAGAGTCAGACAGGTGTAGAGACAGACAGGTAGAGTCAGGCAGGTAGAGTCAGACAGGTGTAGAGACAGACAGATAGAGACAGACAGGTAGAGTCAGACAGGTAGAGTCAGACAGGTAGAGACAGACAGGTATAGTCAGACAGGTAGAGACAGACAGGTAGAGTCAGACAGGTAGAGACAGACAGGTAGAGACACACAGGTAGACAGATAGAGACAGACAGGTAGAGTCAGACAGGTAGAGACAGACAGGTAGAGTCAGACAGGTAGAGACAGACAGGTAGAGTCAGACAGGTAGAGACAGACAGGTATAGTCAGACAGGTAGAGACAGACAGGTAGAGTCAGACAGGTAGAGACAGACAGGTAGAGACAGACAGGTAGAGACAGACAGGTAGAGACAGACAGGTAGAGTCAGACAGGTAGAGACAGACAGGTAGAGTCAGACAGGTAGAGACAGACAGGTATAGTCAGACAGGTAGAGACAGACAGGTAGAGTCAGACAGGTAGAGACAGACAGGTAGAGACAGACAGGTAGAGACAGACAGGTAGAGTCAGGCAGGTAGAGACAGACAGGTAGAGACAGACAGGTAGAGTCAGACAGGTAGAGACAGACAGGTAGAGACAGACAGGTAGAGACAGACAGGTGTTGGAAGGTAATCTACGAGGTGAGTGTGTTTGTGACTCAGTTGGTTTTGGTCGTCAGGATGGTCGGTTTGGACCTGAAGAATCGACACAGAAAGGTAGAGGCTGATTTATTATTATTATTCAATCAATCAATCTTTATTTGTATAGCGCCAATTAATAACAAAGGTTATCTCGAGACGCGTTCCAAAGAGCAGGTTAAAGACTTTATTCTTTTTCAAAAGAAGAATGGGATAGGGGGAGATGGGATAATGTGCAGGAAGAATTTCTCCTTTGTATTCCTGGCGTTCCTTTTGTCCTCACTTCCTCTCCGCTGAGGTGGAGGTCGGAGCAGACCGTGTATGAAGGAGGACGGCGGTGGTTGTAGGAAAGACACATTCCGATGGTGGTGGCTGGGCGTCAGGGTTGTCGGATGGTAGCAATGCCCAATCACCTCGTTGAAGGTTGGGGGAGCTCCGTCTGCTCAAGAGTCTGGCTTCTGCTGACGGGACAATGCCTACTGGGCTTCCTGGGCTTAATATGAGTTATTCTGAGTTATTCTGAGTTATTCTGAGTTATTCAGATTCAGATTCAGATTCAGATTCAGAAAACTTAATTTATCCCAGAAGGGCAATTCCGTTTCACAACCTACCAAGCCATTGAAAAACGCAAAGACAACATAAAAGGAAACAAACACATCACCACAGCATTCAAACAGTTACATTCACATGTCAGTAACAACAGTTCAACAGACGAATAGGTCGTCAAGTGGGAAAGCCAACGCTATCAATCTACAATTTCCTAATACGATGACAGACTTGTTCAGCATTCAACAGACTGATAGCTGAAGGGATTAAAGAGTTGGAGTATCTATTTGTCCTCCTTGGAGGGGCAAGATAGCGCCGTCCAGAGGGCATTAAAGAAAACTCAGATGAGACAACATGTTCAGGTTGGTTTATGATCCCTTTGGCTCTCTGGACCACACGCTCCTTCCACAGGGAGCTCAAGTCTTTCAGCTGGACTCCAATAATCTTAGAGCAGACTTTTACGATGTGGTTCAAACTGTTCTTGTCCTTCACAGACAACCCATTGAACCAACAGATAAAAGAAAATGTTAAAAGACTTTCGATAAAATAATGATAAAAGCTACATAAAATGCTTTGTGAAACACTAAAAGAGTTCAGCCTCTGCATCAAATGAATTCTCTGTTGGTCTTTTCACGATTGACTCTGTGTTTTCAGAAAACTTAAATTCAGAGTCGAACACTGTCCCAAGGTATTTATATGAGTCCACTATTTCAACCTCTCCACCGTGGATAATGCTAGATTCAGGGTGACAACAGTTCTTCCTAAAATTTATGACTAATTCCTTGGTTTTCAGGACATTAAGATCCAGGAAGTTGTCATCTACAATTCTACAATTCACTTAGCAGACGCTTTTATCCAAAGCGACGTACATCAGAGAGTAAGTACAACACTAATCCATTCAAACACCGCCATGAAGCAGTGGGAGCAATGCAGGGTTAAGTGTCTTGCCCAAGGACACATCGGACATGTTGCTCAGCTGGGGATCAAACCCTTGACCTTCCGCTTGAGAGGCAACGACTTTACCAACTGAGCCACAGCTGTCCGCCCACTTAACAAAAGTTGGTAGAGCACCGCCATGGCCTGATTCTGAGCCCTGAAGGAGGGACAGCAGAACAATGTCATCTGAGAACTTTACCAGATAACTGCTCTCTTGTGATGTTCTGCAGCTATCTGTGTACATGATAAAAAGCAGGGGGGACAGGACACAGCCCTGAGGGGAACCAGTGTTTGACATAATTATTTTCGACATTTGACCATTCATGAAAACCTGCTGAACTCTGTCTGTTAAAAAGTTTAAGAGCAACATTAAAATCTGACCAGGAAGTTTAAAGTGAGAGGATAGTCTCTCAATTAAAAAATGAGGCTACATTTTATTAAAAGCTGAGGAAAAGTCAGCGAATAAAAGTCTGGCATGGGATTTAGGTTTTTCCAGGTGTTTGTACACAGTGGCTAAAATGAAAACCTTGGCGTCATCCACACCTTTGCCAGCTTGATAAGCAAACTGAAGTGGATCAAGTTGACCATTTATTAATGAGACAACTTCTGCTTTTAGGATTTTCTCAAATGTTTTCATAACAAGTGAAGTAAGAGCGACTGGTCTAAAATCATTCAAATCCTTAGGTTTAGCTGCCTTAGGCACAGGGATAATTGTGGATGTTTTCCAGATGGGGGGTATCCGGCCACACTCAGCGCACATCTGAAAAAGTTTTGTGAATATGTCACTGAGTTGGTCAGCACAGTGACGCAATGTGCGCCCACAGATGGCGTCAGGGCCAGCAGCTTTTTTTGTATTAACTCCCTTCAGTAGAGCTGTGACAGTTCCCTGAGAGATCACAAAGTCATTCTGAAGAACAAGAGATTCTCTTACTATTGAAATATCATCCAAGAAATCAGACCTTTCCCAGCGAGAAAGAAATGAATTAAAAACATCTGCCAAGTCAGCATCATCCACACCATGTACACAGATAGGAGGCTTAGTCCCACAGGTGGACTGGTTAATTGATGCCATGGATTTTATTCCTTTCCAGGCTGCTCTGAGGTCACCACCACTGAACTGATCCTCAATTTGATTTTTATACTTAAGTTTTGCCTTCCTTATTTCCACCCTGACTTCTCTGGAGACAGCCTTTAACTCCAGGGGGTCAGCAGAGTAGAAAATCCTTTTCTTTTTATTGATAACTGATTTCAGTTCTTTTGTTACCCAGGGTTTATTATCCGGGTAAGTCAACACCTTTTTAGTTGGGATCAAGGAATCCACACAGAAGGTGATGTAAGACGAGACGGTGTCAGAAGGTTCATTAATGTCATCACAAACATCATAAAAACATTGCCAGTCTGTACATTCAAAACAGGACTGGAGAGATGAGATGCTGGCCTCTGACCAGATTTTTACAGTCCTCTCCTTGCACTCCAGGCGCCTAAAACAAGGTTTGTACGTGGGCATAAGGTAGACACTGTTATGATAGGAAGCACCCAAAGAAGGCAGAGGAAAAGATTTGTAAGCTCCACTTACAGAACCATAACAGAGATCAAGTGAGGTTTCCTTTTGTGTTGTAGCGCAAGTCACATATTGTTCGTATGTCCTCAATGTTTTATTTAACTTGCAATGATTAAAATCCCCCAGAATAAACTTGGGAGCATCTGGGCAGATAGAGTCGAGTTTGTGCATGACGTCAGCGATCAGTTGGGCAGCAGCTGACGCGTTGGCTCGAGGGTGAATGTACACTAACGTGTAAAACAGCTGCTGAAGTTCACGAGGCAGGTAAAATGGGCGGAATGGATCTGTTGGCACACTGACATTAACAGGACACACCTCTGACAAGGTGAACCTTTACCTTCTCTGGTTTCACTCCAGATTCAGGCATGGTAAATGAAAGGATTGCATGTGCATAGGTAAAGGTACACTTTTATTCAGGGGTCCATAGAAAAAGAATGTAAGTGAACGTGATGTCCTCATAAGACAGGTGTTTTTCTGTGCAGGTGTTTGTGGAGCTGAACGAGCTGGTGATCGACAGGAACCAGGAGCTGCAGTGGAGGGAGACAGCTCGATGGATCAAGTTTGAGGAGGAGGTGGAGGAGGAGACAGAGCGCTGGGGGAAGCCTAAAGTCCCCTCCCTCTCCTTCCGTTCCCTGCTGGAGCTCCGAAAAACCATGTCCCATGGTGAGGAGGAGGCTCTCTGCTGCCCCCTGCAGAGCATCACTGTCTCAACACATTGCCATGGTCAAAGTTATTATTAAAATCTCTTATTTAACCCTTAAACCACACTGATCAAATCAGTTCTGAAACCCACAGGTCCACAACCCCTTACCCTCCAACAGAAAGATAAAACAGGGTGTCATCTGCATACAAGGAGAAATAGTACCAAAGTTTAACCTGAAAGAAGAGTTCTTATGTCAATCTGTGATGATGTCAGTGTGTGATGATGTCAATCTGTGATGATGTCAGTGTGTGATGATGTCAGTGTGTGATGATGTCAGTGTGTGATGATGTCAGTGTGATGATGTCAGTGTGTGATGATGTCAGTGTGTGATGATGTCAGTGTGATGATGTCAGTGTGTGATGATGTCAGTGTGATGATGTCAGTGTGATGATGTCAGTGTGATGATGTCAGTGTGTGATGATGTCAATCTGTGATGATGTCAGTGTGTGATGATGTCAGTGTGTGATGATGTCAGTGTGTGATGATGTCAGTGTGTGATGATGTCAATGTGTGATGATGTCAGTGTGATGATGTCAGTGTGATGATGTCAGTGTGTGATGATGTCAGTGTGTGATGATGTCAGTGTGTGATGATGTCAGTGTGATGATGTCAGTGTGTGATGATGTCAGTGTGTGATGATGTCAGTGTGTGATGATGTCAATGTGTGATGATGTCAGTGTGATGATGTCAGTGTGATGATGTCAGTGTGTGATGATGTCAGTGTGTGATGATGTCAGTGTGTGATGATGTCAATGTGTGATGATGTCAGTGTGATGATGTCAGTGTGTGATGATGTCAGTGTGATGATGTCAGTGTGTGATGATGTCAGTGTGTGATGATGTCAGTGTGTGATGATGTCAGTCTGTGATGATGTCAATGTGTGATGATGTCAGTGTGATGATGTCAGTGTGTGATGATGTCAGTGTGATGATGTCAGTGTGTGATGATGTCAGTGTGTGATGATGTCAGTGTGTGATGATGTCAGTGTGTGATGATGTCAATGTGTGATGATGTCAGTGTGATGATGTCAGTGTGTGATGATGTCAGTGTGATGATGTCAGTGTGTGATGATGTCAGTGTGTGATGATGTCAATGTGTGATGATGTCAGTGTGATGATGTCAGTGTGATGATGTCAATGTGTGATGATGTCAGTGTGTGATGATGTCAGTGTGTGATGATGTCAGTGTGATGATGTCAGTGTGTGATGATGTCAGTGTGTGATGATGTCAGTGTGTGATGATGTCAGTCTGTGATGATGTCAGTGTGTGATGATGTCAGTGTGATGATGATGTCAGTGTGTGATGATGTCAGTGTGTGATGATGTCAGTGTGATGATGTCAGTGTGTGATGATGTCAGTGTGTGATGATGTCAGTGTGTGATGATGTCAGTGTGTGATGATGTCAGTGTGATGATGTCAGTGTGTGATGATGTCAGTGTGTGATGATGTCAGTGTGTGATGATGTCAGTCTGTGATGATGTCAGTGTGTGATGATGTCAGTGTGATGATGTCAGTGTGTGATGATGTCAGTGTGTGATGATGTCAGTGTGATGATGTCAGTGTGTGATGATGTCAGTGTGATGATGTCAGTGTGTGATGATGTCAGTGTGTGATGATGTCAGTGTGATGATGTCAATGTGTGATGATGTCAATGTGTGATGATGTCAGTGTGATGATGATGTCAATGTGTGATGATGTCAGTGTGATGATGTCAGTGTGATGATGTCAGTGTGTGATGATGTCAGTGTGTGATGATGTCAGTGTGTGATGATGTCAGTGTGATGATGTCAGTGTGTGATGATGTCAGTGTGTGATGATGTCAGTGTGATGATGTCAGTGTGTGATGATGTCAGTGTGATGATGTCAGTGTGTGATGATGTCAGTGTGATGATGTCAGTGTGATGATGTCAGTGTGATGATGTCAATGTGTGATGATGTCAATGTGTGATGATGTCAGTGTGATGATGTCAGTGTGTGATGATGTCAGTGTGTGATGATGTCAGTGTGATGATGTCAGTGTGTGATGATGTCAGTGTGTGATGATGTCAGTGTGTGATGATGTCAATGTGTGATGATGTCAATGTGTGATGATGTCAATGTGTGATGATGTCAGTGTGATGATGTCAGTGTGATGATGTCAGTGTGTGATGATGTCAATGTGTGATGATGTCAGTGTGATGATGTCAATGTGTGATGATGTCAGTGTGTGATGATGTCAGTGTGTGATGATGTCAGTGTGTGATGATGTCAATGTGTGATGATGTCAGTGTGTGATGATGTCAGTGTGTGATGATGTCAGTGTGATGATGTCAGTGTGTGATGATGTCAGTGTGTGATGATGTCAGTGTGTGATGATGTCAATGTGTGATGATGTCAATGTGTGATGATGTCAGTGTGATGATGTCAGTGTGTGATGATGTCAGTGTGTGATGATGTCAGTGTGTGATGATGTCAATGTGTGATGATGTCAGTGTGATGATGTCAGTGTGATGATGTCAGTGTGTGATGATGTCAGTGTGTGATGATGTCAATGTGTGATGATGTCAATGTGTGATGATGTCAGTGTGATGATGTCAGTGTGTGATGATGTCAGTGTGTGATGATGTCAGTGTGATGATGTCAGTGTGTGATGATGTCAGTGTGTGATGATGTCAGTGTGTGATGATGTCAGTGTGTGATGATGTCAGTGTGATGATGTCAGTGTGTGATGATGTCAGTGTGTGATGATGTCAGTGTGTGATGATGTCAGTGTGTGATGATGTCACGCTGTGTTCTCTTCAGGGGCGGTGCTCCTGGACCTGAAGCAGGGGACTCTTCCGGGGATCGCTCAGCAGGTGGTGGAGCAGATGGTGATCTCTGATCAGATCAAAGCTGAAGACAGAGCCAACGTCCTGAGAGCCCTGCTGCTCAGACACAGGTCCAAACATCAATCTGTCAATCATCTTTCAATCATCAATCTGTCAATCATCCATCTGTCCAGTGTCGGCTGGTGCATTGATCTCCAGAGCGGGCACAATTTGTCACAGATGGACGGGGATGTGTAGCCTCGTGTGTTAGCCTGATACTAACACATACTTGAAAACGGCATTAACTGGCTAACAGAATTAGCATCCCGATAATTTTAACTTATGAAACAATCTATTTACTGAACATATTAAACAAACAACACCATATGCACAGACACATTTAAAAAACTGCTGACCCATGCTCTGCTAGTCTGATCCACCTTTATAAACAGTCAATGCTCTGATCCAGTGACGCTGCGTGACTCGGTCTTTATGTCTATGTTCATGTGACATGTCCTGCTGCTCTGTTCTTGTGTGTAATGCGTTCATGGAAGAAGATTGGCCTGCTCAAAAGTCACAAAAAGTTTTAATGGATCAGAACTTTTAGACCTCTAAGGGCCTATCTTCTTCCTTAGTCAGCTGATTTTGCACTACGCTGCACTACACTGTGATATGCATGACTACCTCCTTTTTCTAATGCGTTCATGGACACATTTTTACCTGCGCTCCTAAATGCTCCTGTCTCTGAACATCTTTTCACTGATGTATTTTGTTTTATTTTTGTGTTCAGCCATCCCAGTGATGAGAAAGACCACAGTCTGTTCAGCAAGAACATCTCTGCAGCCAATGTGGCCAACTTGATTGACAGACACATTGGCCAATCAGAGCACTCCACCAATGTGACCAATCACAGAGAGGCTGATGGAGAGAAAAACAAGGTAAGCAAAACAACAGATCAGATAAGTTCTGTTTCTCTGTTATTGAGTATTGGTACATTATCCCTTAAATGACACATTATTACAACTCTGACTCTAAAGGTTTAAGTCAAGGTCACTAATGTTTCTTTAGTTTTGATGATGATGACGATGGTCTCCATATTATTGATGATTCTAATGTCCTGTAAATGTGTTTGTCTTGATGTGTCATGACTGTGGTTTATGTTTCATGTTCTGCAGAACAGGAACATGCTGGAAACCAGTTTTTATACTGAGTCAGGCCCGTTAAACTGAAATTCTGATGGTAATGACGATGGTTTTATTTGATAATGACGACTTTGTGCAATGCCTGTCAGGACCTGTGGGTCCAATCAGACACAAAGCTGATCGTTTGCTCCTACTGACATTGTTTCCTTTTTTCTAGATCCTTGCTTGTGTTGTACTTACTGTCTGATGTACGTCGCTTTGGAAGCGTCTGCTAAGTGAATTGTAGAATTGTAGTTTTGTCCCTGTTTAATATGTCAACACCTAATAAGAGTTCAGTTACAAAGTAAGACAAAGGCTATCCCATTAAGGTTAAGTCCAATATGTCATATCACTTGGAGATCATGATGAACGGGTTCTTGGTGACTAGAAGAGGAACTGAGAGGTTCATGAAGCAGGTTCCTCACTTTACCCAGCTCACACCTGTTCAGGATGAGATTCAGTTGGTGTTTTAAATCCATCTCAACACTGATAACCTGAAAGTCAGAAAGGGTGGAAGAGAATAGGGTGTCATCAGTGTAGCAGTAATATTTCATGTACATGAAGTATCCACAGACCTTATTGGGTTTCTGATGGTTTACTTTTAGCCATTTTATTTGATTTAATGAACAAACTTGTGTGTCCAGAAAGAAGCCCTGCCCTCTGTCACTCCAGATCCAAACATGAAGAGAAGCTGATGGAAAAGATCCCGGAGAGAGCGGAGGCCACTGTTGTCCTTGTGGGTACGTGTAACAAGGTTGTAGGCATGTTGTAGAGCAGCAGGCTCGGTGGGTTTACTGCTTCCCTCTGTTGTGTCTGCAGGCAGTGTAGGCTTCCTGGACCAGCCCTCCATGGCCTTCGTGAGGCTGCAGGAGGCGGTTCTGTTGGAGTCGGTCCTAGAGGTTCCTGTCCCTGTGAGGTTCCTCTTCCTCCTGTTGGGCCCGCCCACCGCCAACATGGACTATCACCAGATTGGACGATCCATCTCTACGCTCATGTCAGACAAGGTGAGTCTCTGTAGCTGGCTGGATTCCACCACCAGATGGCGCTTAATAATAAATCACTCTTCTGAAGCCAATTAAACCCAACTGATGTAGCAAATGTTGCCTCTTTCAGCACTTTCATGAGGCTGCGTATCAGGCTGACGACCGCCAGGACCTGCTGGCAGCCATCAACCGTTTTCTGGATTGTAGCGTGGTCCTCCCTCCCTCTGAGGTCGGCGATGATGAAATGCTTCACTCAGTCGCTCGCTTCCAACGAGAAATGCTCCGAAAGAGGGAGGAGGAGCAGAGCGGGAAACTGCAGGAGAAACAGAGCAGCACTCAGCAGGATGAAGGTTGGTTAGCACAGGAACACATACCTGGAACTCTTTTAAGAATATTTTTTATTAACAACAATATTGTCTTTTCATTTGAACCCTTTTTAAATTATAGTAAAATACTGACACGAGGACAACCATGGTCAGCATCTTAAACCCATCGGCCACCAGAACAAATACTTGGATTCGATCATGCAGTTAAATATTTTGTATTGCTCACAAAATATGTTGCTGTACATTGTCAAAGTGCAAAACTCATGATCAAACTTTGTGAGTCGTTAAAAACACACTGAAAGCTTCCTTTTAATAAACGTCTTTTAACTCTTAACTTCCTGCTGAAGAAATAAATCAACATCCATGTCGTTGGTCGCCCACAGTGACAAACATCTGATTTTATTCATGGATAAATCTTTGAGGTTCAAAACTGATGTAGATCCAATAACACGACCTGCTGTTCTGCTGGTGACCCAAACCCTGACCCTCAACCTTGTTACCTATGTTATTATTTACTTAAATCCTTTCTTTGTAATCAAACGTAACAAACTTACAGAAGAGATCAAAGTAGAGTTAAAGCAGGAGCTCAGTTTAAAGAGGTCATCTCAGAAGATCTCGAACATGTTCTCTGTAAGATAAATCAGCCTGTCATCAGCTAATGGTGAATACTTCATGGATGGACATGGTCTTCCTGTGATCCTGGGATATCATGGACAATCCTGCTCTCATTGTCTTGATGTCATTATAAAGTTTTGATGTCAGATCAACAGTCTCATTCTGATCTTTCAGATTCTCTTGTTCCCTCCAAACACGGAGACGAGCCCCTGAAACGTTCAGGCCGTCTCTTCGGAGGTCTGATCAAAGATGTGACTCGACGTTACCCTCAGTACCTCAGCGACCTTCAAGATGCTCTGAACCCGCAGTGCATGGCCGCCATCATCTTCATCTACTTCGCAGCACTGTCACCTGCCATCACCTTCGGTGGACTCCTGGTGAGTCTGGACATGTGGACAGAAACACGGGACAGGGTAACACCAAGATATTTAACTTTAATGGTTGTATTGCTGTGATCTGTTTCCTGTGACACAGGTGAGAAAACAGACGGTCTGATTGGTGTATCTGAGCTGATAGTCGCCACGTCGCTGCAGGGTATAGTCTTCAGCGTCCTGAGCGCTCAGCCTTTGCTGATCATCGGCTTCTCTGGACCGCTGCTGGTGTTTGAAGAGGCTTTCTACACTGTGAGCTCACACACCCGTGTAACAGTCTCACAGCAGCAGAGTGTGTCCCTGTTACTTTGGACAGAAGTCACTGGAACAGATAGTCTGTATCTCTGACTCTTTATCTGAAATCGGTGTTGTTCTTTAGGATTCTGTTTGGAGCCTCTTTTGTTTGTCTTGTTTTACCTTTTCTTCACAGAGAGGTTTGAAAGGTTCCCTCTGAAACAGCAGCTTGACAAAAGACTCTCTGTCTTTCCTAAAACATGCATTTCAATTCCAAAGTTCTGATTACAGCAAGTATTGTGATAAATCTGAAGAATCCAGCCCTGAGAGTATGAAGTGTGTAATCTTTTGAGGGGATGTGTCTGACCTGAGACCTGTGCTGTCAAGATCATTTAACGTCATCCCTCTGTGTCTGACATATCACTGAATCTATAACTACTGCTCCTGAATGCTGCTAACCAAAGTATCTTACTCGCTCCCATGCTTGCTGCCTCCTGAACCCGTCCTGTGTGTGTCTGTGTAGTTTTGTAAAGATAACGGGATCGAGTATCTGACAGGCCGGGTGTGGATCGGGTTCTGGCTGGTGCTGATCGTAGTCCTGACTGTGGCCTTCGAGGGGAGCATCCTGGTCCGCTTTGTTTCCCGTTTCACTCAGGAAATCTTCTCCTTTCTCATCTCCCTCATTTTCATCTACGAGACATTCGCCAAACTGATCAAGGTGAGGTCAAAGGTCATCAATATGCAGCTGAAATATTCCTGCATGGAGAAACAAACTTAGTAGTTTGTTCTGGTTGACTCGGGGCTTTTCTGGGCGGAGCTGGTGTGTTTCCTCCAGCCAATGAGAGCGCAGCAGGTGAGTTTAGGAGTGGATACAATTCAGCGATTGGACGAGATTCAAACCGGTGAATATGACGGACGTGGACGTAGCAGCAAAGAAGAGAAAATATAATGAGAGTGAGGAGAAACACCAAGTGGATAAAGCTCGTTCTAAAATGAGGGTGAACCTTGTGTTGTCTTTTACCTGTAGACGTGGAGTTGATCTACTTCCTGTTTGACAGGCAGGTGACAAACACCGGCGGTTAGCTTGTGCTAGTTTGTGGTAGCTTGGGCCCGGTTTGAATGTTGTGTTTACAAGCTTCAACCAACATTTGTACTTACTCTACCATTACGAAGGGATGCACATTTGAAAACATGCAAATGTCCCAAACAAATGCTATTATGGAAACGCAATGCAAATGAAAGAACCTGCTACAGATAGGGGGCGCTACTTTAACTCAGTCTGCAGAGCAGCACTCCATGTATAGAGGCTACCGTCCTGAACTCATTGGTAGCAAAGTCAACCCCAAATCTGGATGTCACCTCTCACTCTACCATCTCACGGCATAGGGCATTTAAATAGCCCTCGTTGGCGACCATACAAGGCTTTAGGTTTTACAAACTAGTTATGTTAGCTTAAGGATATATGATATTATTGTAAATTACATTATCTTGATAATATTTAGGTTTTAAAAAATAGGAAAAAGAGACAGGTCCATGTGTTACTAGGAGGGGTTTTGTTTTTGGTTCTCTATCCATCAATCCTGTTCTTGTGAACACAATATGTCAGGAACGCTAAAAGAGAATATCTTAAACATTAATTAGGCTCGTCCACACAGGTTCATGAATCAAAGAGTAGAATTTTGCAATCAGAGTTTAAATATCAAGGTATCGTGTCTCTAGCTCACCTGTTCATTGTGAACTCTGAACTCCGCTCAATGAGGCTGAAACGTGATGTAGAACTTATGGTTTCTATTTTTCTGTCTTTTTACCCCCAGATCTTTCAGGAGCATCCCCTTCAAAACTGTTACCATGGAAACAACACAGTGTCCTCATCTAAATGCAACTACACCGCAGCAGCAAGGGATTCTGGGAAGATTGTTGGAGAACCAAACACAGCCCTGCTGTCATTCGTGCTCATGGCTGGGACGTATTTCATTGCTTTCTACCTGCGCAAGTTCAAGAACAGCTCCTTCTTCCCCGGGAGGGTCAGTACACACTCTCATATACAGACACTGATGCAGAGGATAATACAGCTTTAACACAACTACATACAGGTTCAGTCTGAGGATACATCCATCCATCCCTCCACCCATCCATCCCTCCACCCATCCCTCCACCCAAACTTCCTTCTATCCATCCCTCAATAAATCCATCCATCCATTGGTCTTCCCTCCATCCATCAATCTATCCATCCCTCCATCCATCCATCCACCCATCCATCCCTCCATCAATCCCTCCACCCATCCATCCATCCATTGGTCTTCCCTCCATCCATCAATCCCTCCATCCATCAATCTATCCATCCCTCCATCCATCCATCCACCCATCCATCCCTGCATCAATCCCTCCACCCATCCATCCATCCATTGGTCTTCCCTCCATCCATCAATCCATCCATCCCTCCATCCATCCCTCTATCCCTCCACCCACCCATCCCTCCATCCATCCCTCCATCCATCCATTGGTCTTCCCTCCATCCCTCCATCCATCCATCCATCCATCCATTCCTCCATCCATCCATTGGTCTTCCCTCCATCCATCATCCATCCATCATCCCTCCATCCCTCCATCCCTCCATCCATCCATTGGTCTTCCCTCTATCCCTCCATCCCTCCATCCATCCATTGGTCGTCCCTCCATCCCTCCATCCATCCATCCATTGGTCTTCCCTCCATCCATCATCCATCCATCCAATAAAATATGAATTAATCACAAAACACACAGAATGATCAGAAGGATTTCCGACTTGAGCAGTTGTTTGAATCATCACTGTCTCAGGTCATTCATTGGAGAGGTCATTCACAGCTCCTCTGTTCTGTTTGTGTTTTAGCTCCGTCGGATCATCGGTGACTTTGGTGTTCCCATAGCAATCCTCATCATGGTTCTGGTGGACTACAGCTTTGAGGACACCTACACCCAGGTTTAAGGATGCACTAAGAGAATCCTGTGTTCATTTATAAACTGAAAACTCAATCATTACAGTAACCTTCTCCTTATTGGTGAACAGAAGCTGAACGTGCCCAGTGGATTCTCAGTGTCCAGTCCAGAGAAGCGTGGTTGGCTAATTTCTCCTCTGGGGTCGGACGGGCAGTTTCCTGTTTGGATGATGGCCGCCAGCATCCTTCCTGCCATCCTGGTCTTCATTCTCATCTTCATGGAGTCTCAGATCACAGCGTACAGCACTGTCTTCGTTTTCTTTGCTTGATTTATGGTTTACATTCTTTTGTTTTGACGTGAATAACAAATGTTTATTTCCTGTCAGGTTGATCGTCAGTAAGAAGGAGAGGATGCTGGCGAAGGGCACTGGTTTTCACGTGGACCTCCTCATCATCGTGGTGGTGGGTGGGCTTTCAGCAATGTTGGGGTTGCCGTGGTTATCAGCCGCCACGGTTCGCTCTGTCACACACACCAATGCCCTCACGGTCATGAGCAAAGCTGTCGCCCCTGGAGACAAACCACGCATCGAGGAGGTGAAGGAGCAGAGGGTGACCGGCTTCCTGGTGGCTGTTTTAGTTGGTAAGACTGTGGCGGTCACGTTATTCTACGAACATCACTGCTTTTAGCATCTCTATCCTCGTCTGTCCTGTCTCTCACCTGATTAAGACCTCTCCCTGATCGTCCTGTCTGTGACCTGTGTGTGACCTGTGTGTGACCTGTCTGTGACCTGACTATGACCTCTCCCTGATCGTCCTGTCTGTGACCTGTCTGTGACCTGACTATGACCTCTCCCTGATTGTCCTGTCTGTGACCTGTCTGTGACCTGACTATGACCTCTCCCTGATTGTCCTGTCTGTGACCTGTCTGTGACCTGTCTGTGACCTGTCTGTGACCTGACTATGACCTCTCCCTGATCGTCCTGTCTGTGACCTGACTATGACCTCTCCCTGATCGTCCTGTCTGTGACCTGTCTGTGACCTGTCTGTGACCTGACTATGACCTCTCCCTGATCGTCCTGTCTGTGACCTGTCTGTGACCTGACTATGACCTCTCCCTGATTGTCCTGTCTGTGACCTGTCTGTGACCTGTCTGTGACCTGTCTGTGACCTGACTATGACCTCTCCCTGATCGTCCTGTCTGTGACCTGTCTGTGACCTGTCTGTGACCTGTCTGTGACCTGACTATGACCTCTCCCTGATCGTCCTGTCTGTGACCTGTCTGTGACCTGACTATGACCTCTCCCTGATTGTCCTGTCTGTGACCTGTCTGTGACCTGTCTGTGACCTGTCTGTGACCTGACTATGACCTCTCCCTGATCGTCCTGTCTGTGACCTGTCTGTGACCTGTCTGTGACCTGACTATGACCTCTCCCTGATCGTCCTGTCTGTGACCTGTCTGTGACCTGTCTCTGTCGTGTCTGTGACCTGTCTTTGACCTGTCTGTGACCTGTCTTTGACCTGTCTGTGACCTATCTGTGACCTGTCTGTGACCTGACTATGACCTCTCCCTGATCGTCCTGTCTGTGACCTGTCTGTGACCTGTCTGTGACCTGTCTTTGACCTGTCTGTGACCTATCTGTGACCTGTCTTTGACCTGTCTGTGACCTGTCTTTGACCTGTCTGTGACCTATCTGTGACCTGTCTGTGACCTGTCTGTGACCTGTCTTTGACCTGTCTGTGACCTGTCTTTGACCTGTCTGTGACCTGTCTTTAACCTATCTGTGACCTGTCTTTGACCTGTCTGTGACCTGTCTTTAACCTATCTGTGACCTGTCTTTGACCTGTCTGTGACCTGTCTTTAACCTGTCTGTGACCTGTCTTTGACCTGTCTGTGACCTATCTGTGACCTGTCTTTGACCTGTCTGTGACCTGTCTTTAACCTATCTGTGACCTGTCTTTGACCTGTCTGTGACCTGTCTTTAACCTATCTGTGACCTGTCTTTGACCTGTCTGTGACCTGTCTTTAACCTGTCTGTGACCTGTCTTTGACCTGTCTGTGACCTATCTGTGACCTGTCTTTGACCTGTCTGTGACCTGTCTTTAACCTGTCTGTGACCTGTCTTTAACCTGTCTGTGACCTGTCTCTGTCCTCTCAGGTCTGTCCATCGTCATTGGGGAGGTCTTACGTCAGATCCCTCTGGCAGTTCTATTCGGGATCTTCCTCTACATGGGTGTGATGTCACTGAACGGGATCCAGCTCACTGACAGACTCATCCTGCTGCTGATGCCCCCAAAGTACCACCCCGACCAAAGCTATGTCCGCAAGGTTAGCCTCCCCCTGATCACGTATATCACACCCCCCGTCAGACTCTTCTAGTGACTTCTCTGGATACATGTCCCTTACTCAGATTGTAACAGACTCACAACTCAACAGAATCACCAAATACCTTTTGATGAACTTTCATTAGACTAGAAATGAATTTAGGTCCATCAATTATTCCCTGACATGTCAGGTGTTGTTGGTTTTTACATGCAGGGACATTTTCAGTTTCACTGAATCGTCATTTGGAAAAGTAAATCGTGACTTGGACCTGAAGTAGTGAAGTGAAGTACATGCCTTGGTTTGGGTGACAGATGGGTGAGACTGTCAGATTGGTCGCCGTAGCAACAGCTGTAGCAACAGCCGTAGCAACAGCCGTAGCAAAAGCTGTAGCAGGGGTGTTGTGGTTCAGAGGGAGCTGAGCCTGAAGACAGGGTTTTAGATTTACAATCGATCTTCGTTCTAAACCTCACCTGTGGTCATGAAAAATGAGATCACAGATATATCACCAGAAGCGAGTTTCCTCTGCAGGGTGTCTGGACTCAGGATTAGGGCTCATTTATGCACTACGTCCATTACGCATATGGATACAGACAGATCCTTCTGTCTGTACTCTGGGTTCGGTTCGTCCGTATTTCTGCATGTTTACTGGATGCTAACGGATACAGATCAAACGTTGCACAGTGTAGCCAACAGTTGGAGAAGTGGAGGTCAGTGAGAGTGGATGCATTCTTTTACATCCATCCCAATGAGAAGGACACACGTGAGTATATACTGCAGGTTATATTGTTTAAAACATTAGTGTCTACTTTCATTGATAAAGGAAGCAGCCTTATATATGGGAGAGGAGCTCAGATATCTGGAGGAGTCATCAGGTAGGACCCCGATCTCACTGGAGGGATTGTATATCTCACCCCACTTTGGAACACCTCAGGGATGTCTGCGGTGAATTGCTCAGCCTGCTGCGACTTGATCCAGGATACTGAAATAAAATAGAAATGTAACTTGAAAAGGTTATGACTTGGGTCTTGTTCCTGATTTGGGGAATTTTTAATGTTGACTTTACTTTAATTCTGACCAGGGTCTTGTTCATTGACCTGAACTGGACTTGGACTTTACTTGGCACTTGTATGGGAATTGATATGAGGCATGTTGCCCTGATTATGACTAGGCTAGACTCTTGTTGGACTTGGAATTTATTAAACATCTAGTCCAAGTCAATCTTTCAGACAACTGTGCGTGAACAGTCACCAACCTATAGATTGACCGTCGTCTCTCTCTGTGTGTCCATGCTCTGTTACAGGTGAGGACGCTGAGGATGCACCTGTTCACTATCGTCCAGCTGATCTGTCTGTCTGTCCTGTGGGTTGTCATGGCGACAGCAGCCGCGCTGGCGTTCCCCTTCATGCTGCTGCTGACCATCCCTGTGAGGATGCTGGTGCTGCCCCGTATCTTCAGCTGGAGAGAGATTCAGAGTGTGAGTAACACAAGCCAACAGAGGGAACAGAGAGGTTAACCTTTTAGAGTAACATGCTAACTGTTAGCTAATGTTAGTCTTATTGAACAGCTGAACGTTTAAAGATCATAAACACTAAATGTTTGTGCTCGTTGCCAGAAGACACGTGGAATTAGCAGCTAGCATAATATAGCCCTGCCATGCTAACTGTTTGTAGCATGTTGAAGTAGCTGCATTCTAGAACTTCTGATACCTAGCATATCTACCTGCTTATATAATGCTCAAGCTACATGTGTAACGTCCTGTTATTATGCTAGTTGTTCTGAGTTAGCTGGTCTGTATTAAATGAAATAGTTTGACATGTTCTATTCACTAGCTGTTTATGGTTAGCTAAAGTTAGCTAGTCAGTATTAGCATAAATAATATGATGTTGGATATGCTAGCCATCTACTGTACAGTTTGCTGGTGTTAGCTGGTCCACATTAGCAAAAACAGCTTAGTTATGGTAGTTACAGTTATAGTAGTTGAATCTTGTTCGTATCATTAACCCCATCCTGTTACCATGACAACAACCTGCAGTCCTGACCTCTGACCTCTGGTCCTGCAGCTGGATGCTGATGATGCAGAGCCTCACCTGGAGGAGAAGGAGGGGCAGGACGAGTACTCACAGCAGCAGATGCCTGTGTGACCAGTCTGCAGCCTTGTGATTGGCTGATCCACCTCCTTCATTAGCATATCCAACATGTATCCTGTAGCATTGCTTGAAAATCCTGTTTTTTATGAATCCGACTTTGTCTTCTTGATTCATGGGACGGTCTCGTCTCCGACTCTGATGATGCTGCTCAACAAACCGCTTCAATCTGAACTCTATTCTCTGTCGTTTGTTTTAAAGATCAAACTAACTGAACGCAGTCCGTCCTACTTTTGTCCCATGCTGAATGTTTCTATCAATAAAGGCAAATTCATGATTAACATTTAGATTTCTTCCCATTCATTTGTAGGTAACAGCATTATGAGACTTCCAGTCAATCACACGTGATCTGTCTGCACCCAACATGTCGCCTGTCTGTCATCATGAACACGTCGTAAAACCAGTGTTATGGATCAGATTATGTTCTGACATTATCTCTGTGTCCTTTCTTTAAGATCAGGTCTCCTCGTCTTTCAAACACACTGAGCAGGTGTTTGTCGTATAGCTCGTATAATGACCCCTGTGTGTCGTCTCCAGGATTTATCTGGGCCCCATGAACCGATCTCACATTGGGCCCCTCCCCCCCTGAGATAGGACTATAACCACACCTCCGCCACATTACTGATCCTTTAAGAGATTCATGTGAAGGTCGGGAACATTTTGAATGATCCATAGCAACAAGAAGTACCAAAGCTTAAATAAAACCGACTTCTATCTTTCATTAGACAGATGTCACAGTGATGTGTACTCGCCTTCACTCACTCACTCAGTACTTCTCCACTCCGCCTGCAAGACACAGAAAAATACAATAAGAGGAACTAATGGGCCCGTAACAGCCCTTAAAATCATCTGGATATTTCTTCCCCATACATCGCACCTGCTCTTCAGGCATTACCTGCCCTCCACCTTTTCTCCTTTCATCAAACCTCTGGCCACTAGGGGTCGCCACTCCCCTCCAGAGATAATAATATGGTTTTTTTTTGTTTGTTTTTTTATTCACCAAAACGTGCATACACACACTCACACAGCAAAAAAAAAAGAGCTACAAACAAGAGGGGAACTGTGGTACGATACAGTTTTGCAAGCAGATTTAGACAAAAACAAACAAACAAACAAAACAAAAGGAAAAGGGTCTGTAAATAAAATGAATGAATTAGACAAAATAAGTAAATGAGCAAACAGGAAAAAAAAAAACATGGGGACAGTATAGTAACAAAATGATGTCAAATAAAACTGGTGGGATAGGTTGTACACATGGTGACTATTTTTGGTGTTATTTGTTTGTTTTTGTTTTTCACTCTGTATGGGTGCTAACATGATGAAATACAGACTGTTCGTAAATGATATTATATATAATAATAAGTTAAAGAGCTGAGGCAGCATCGCTCATGTGTGACAGACAGCATGTTGAACAACATTAAAGATCTGGAACATTATTATTATTACGGCGTCACTTTTTAATGGTGCACTGTCACTCTACACTGGCTAAGCCCCGCCCCCTGCTCTGACCAAACCTGGTTGTCATGGCAACCTCCCCTCACTGTCACAATGTGTCCATCGGAGCGTCTCAGGGGAAACCTGACCACGCGTGGCGGCTCGTGGTCACCTGATCCGAGCAGCTGCTGAATGTTTGATGGAGGTCTGTCAGAGATCCTCGCCCTGCCGCAGAACGACCACACACACCTGAACAGGTAGAGACAGGTAGAAACACCTGGTAGAGACAGGTAGACCTCCAGTAGAGATCGGTTTGAGGACGTGTAGAGGACAGGTTGACGCTCGGACAGGACGCTGTAACAGGCAGGTACTCTCTCACTCTGTAGTCTGTCTTTCTTTTCTCTGCAGGCACTCTAAAATGTTTCTTACCTGTGTGACATCATCACCTGTATCATGTGTCTCACCTGTAAAAACCCCACATATTTATAAACTGCTACAGCTGACAACAGAGAGTGCTTCACCTGTTTCCTGTGGTTTTCTTTATGTAACTGACGCTGTGTGTCACACTCACACAAAACTCTGAAAACATCCCCATATCTATATAACGTTACCTGACTCTTTCCTGCCAGCCTCCTGATCAAACATCCAGCGTGAAGTCGAGGTGAGGGAAATATTGAGTCAAATTCAGCGAGCAGGCTGAGGGGATGATGTTATTATCCTGGCACCAGTTTGTCTGTTCTTGTGATGGTAACCATGAACATGTCCAGCTACACACAGCGCTGATATAAAGATGGACCAACAGGGCAAACATCACCCCGTGACAGACGCCTGTGTGAACAACCGGCTGCCAGAAATGTTTCTAGACATTCTCTGGAGTGTTTGAAGGATTTATTTCTTTGTTTCACTTAAAAAATCACTCCAACAGTTTCAAAGAGTTCACAGGCTGAAGTTTGATTTGTTAACGTATGATGATGAAAACATTGTGGTTACCTGATGTGTTCCCCGTTAGTCACTGAAGTTCAGAGTGTTTGAAAAGAGCCAGGATCAGATGAGTCTGCAGGAGGTCCACATACTGAGGTCTGTATTGATGTGGACCAGTTTGTTTCTTTATACAGTTTAGACGTTCTCTCCTGTATATGTGTTTGATGAGAGCAACAATCCATTAATCAGACGCTTTTATCTAAAGCGACGAACACCAGAGAGTAAGAACAACAAGGAGAGAGAGAGAGAGGAGGAGAACATGACAGTAAGAGCAAACAGATTGAAGTCTGATCAACACACAGGTGGTGACAGGAAGTGACCAGAGGCAGAGCACAGCTGCTGACAGGAAGTGACCACAGGTGCTGACAGGAAGTGACCAGAGGCAGAGCACAGCTGCTGACAGGAAGTGACCAGATGCAGAGAACTTTGTATTTTTAGAAAGTTAATGTATTATCATCAACAACAACATGGACAGCGGTTCTTTAGAGTTCCAGAGTTTTGTGTTCATAAAGAGCTGGGACTCTGCAGATGGCCTGCACTCCGGAGGTCTGAACCAGCCTGTGACTCGAGCTGTGACTCGAGCTGTGACTCGAGCTGCGCTCCCACTCTGATTGAGCTCAGTTCTGTCTACAGAAAGATGACGCTTTTTACACTTTATCAAGAGGACACACTGGGACACGCTATCTGAGATGAGTTTCATTGTTTTAAACAAAGTTTGAGCATCACATCTCATATCAACACTGCGGCGCAGTTACCACCAACTCTCCGCCACCCCTCTTTGTCACTCTCACTGTGCGTGGCTGTTAGCGCCCCCTGTTGGTGAGTTAGACTCTTTTTACAATGAGGCTGGTTTACAGAGAAACAGACCTCATGGATCATTTAAACACAAACAGAATTGACACACAGAGACGCAGTTTGCTCTGCAGCGCAGTTAGGCGAGCATTTAACCCTTTAGATCAGATCCGCTGCCCTGCATGGTTTAGAAGTTTCCCTCTTCCAACATACCTGATTCAAATTAAGCGTTCATCATCAGGCTTCTTGATGACGAGCTGATCTGATTCAGGTGTGTTGGAAAAAGGAAACATCTAAACCATGCAAGGCAGCGGGTCCCCGGGACCAGGATTGAAAAACACTTAAGATGGTGTCTTTTTGACTCTTTGTACAGGTTTAGTGGGCGCAAAAGCAACATAATCCTTTTGTGAATCTGGCCCTCAGTGTGAGCCAGGTGCTGCTTATTGCTCAGTTCAGGAGTGTGTGAGGTTGTTACCAGAGCTCTGATTGACAGGTGTCTGTACCTGCTACAGGTGATGGTGTCAGGATGTCTGACGGGAGGCAGCGAACTTTGTCCACCTCAGGAGAGTCTCTGTATCAGATCCTCGCTCTGCAGAAAGGCTGCAGCCATGAAGACATCAAGAAGTCCTACAGGTGAGAGATATAGCCCCGCCCACTCAACTGCAGTCACACCCTCCCCCTGTCTGTAGTTCCCTCAGATAAACTGATTCTGCTGACACGTTAAGTGTGTGTTAACATGAGATATGTGTAAACGTCAACAGGAAGTTGGCGTTGCGGTACCACCCCGATAAGAATCCGGACGATCCTGACGCGGCAGAGAAGTTTAAGGAGCTGAACGCAGCTCACGCCGTTCTGTCTGACCTGACAAAGAGGAACATCTATGACTCGTATGGCTCTCTGGGACTCTACGTGGCCCAGCAGTTTGGAGAGGACAACGTCAACACCTACTTCATGCTGTCCACCTGGTGGGCCAAGGTGGGCGGGGCTTACACTGACCAATCAGAGAACACTTCATGATCCAATAAAATACATACGTGGTTAATGTATTCTGTCTTGGGGTCTGTATCTTGATCTATAACTTGTTCCTGTCTTGGGGTCTGTATCTTGATCTATAGCTTGTTCCTGTCTCAGGGTCTGGATCTTGATCTGTATCTTGTTCCTGTCTCAGGGTCTGGATCTTGATCTGTATCTTGTTCCTGTCTCAGGGTCTGGATCTTGATCTGTATCTTGTTCCTGTCTCAGGGTCTGGGTCTGGATCTTGCTCCTGTCTCAGGGTCTGGATCTTGATCTGTATCTTGTTCCTGTCTCAGGGTCTGGATCTTGATCTGTATCTTGTTCCTGTCTCAGGGTCTGGGTCTGTATCTTGTTCCTGTCTCAGGGTCTGGATCTTGATCTGTATCTTGTTCCTGTCTCAGGGTCTGGCTCTTGATCTGTATCTTGTTCCTGTCTCAGGGTCTGGATCTTGATCTGTATCTTGTTCCTGTCTCAGGGTCTAGGTCTGGATCTTGTTCCTGTCTCAGTGTCTGGATCTTGATCTGTATCTTGTTCCTGTCTCAGGGTCTGGGTCTGGATCTTGTTCCTGTCTCAGTGTCTGGATCTTGATCTGTATCTTGTTCCTGTCTCAGGGTCTGGATCTTGATCTGTATCTTGTTCCTGTCTCAGAGTCTGGGTCTGGATCTGTATCTTGTTCCTGTCTCAGGGTCTTGATCTGTATCTTGTTCCTGTCTCAGTGTCTGGATCTTGATCTGTATCTTGTTCCTGTCTCAGGGTCTGGATCTTGATCTGTATCTTGTTCCTGTCTCAGAGTCTGGGTCTGGATCTGTATCTTGTTCCTGTCTCAGGGTCTTGATCTGTATCTTGTTCCTGTCTCAGTGTCTGGATCTTGATCTGTATCTTGTTCCTGTCTCAGGGTCTGGATCTTGATCTGTATCTTGTTCCTGTCTCAGAGTCTGGGTCTGGATCTGTATCTTGTTCCTGTCTCAGGGTCTTGATCTGTATCTTGTTCCTGTCTCAGTGTCTGGATCTTGATCTGTATCTTGTTCCTGTCTCAGGGTCTGGATCTTGATCTGTATCTTGTTTCTTTCTCAGAGGCTGGATCTTGATCTGTATCTTGTTCCCGTCTAAGGGTCTGGATCTTGTTTCTTTCTAAGGGTCTGTATCTTGATCTGTATCTTGTTTCTTTCTCAGAGGCTGGATCTTGATCTGTATCTTGTTCCTGTCTCAGGGTCTGTTTGCGGTGTGTGGACTCCTGACCGGCTTTTACTGCTGCTGCTGTCTCTGCTGCTGCTGTAACTGCTGCTGTGGGAAACTGAAGCCGCCACCACCAGGTGATGGGGCGGAGCCAGAGTATGTCTCCCCTGACGACCTGGAGGAGGAGTTACGCAACGACCGGGACAATGGTGAGAGCACAGGAAGTTCTGAGCTTTAAATTTGAAAGGCAAATATTTCTAATGACTATTGCTGATGATCGGCAGGTGATCCAATCTGTCAAAGGTTTCTGAAAATATCTGAACCAATATCGCCTAAATCAACGAGAATACCTTAAAGGTCCAATCAGTGAGATGTGTAGTGAGTGAAATGATAAAGTGAGCTTACTATATGATCAGACATTAAAGGCTTAATATGTGATTTTTAAAACTTAAATGTAATATAAATCAAGTATGTCCTCTGAAAATAACTCTGTGAGTCATGACTGTCTACAATGGGTGTAACACCCGAGTCCCACTGTCTGTGATGTTTTCAGAGTTTTCAGAGTCCTATCTTCAGTTTGTTTACATCGCCCGGACGGCCGGCTGACTCCTCCCCTCGTGTATAAAAGTTGTTTAATTGAGGGACTAGAGAAAAGAAGAATAACATACTGTACTCACTGCTTAACTGTGTTTCTAGATCACGCTCATTTCAGGTAAATTTACATGCAGTGTGAAGATACCGGCATAATAAAGATCACTAGCATTAGCATGCTAACACAACAATGCAGCGCAAGTTGTTTTGGTTTCATGCTGGTGCTCAAGGGCGACATCTGCTGGATCAAAAAGTTGCATATTCTGCCTTTAAGGAAACATGCTATGTTAAAGTGTTGGCTTCTCTGACAACAATGCAGCAGCCAGTATGTCCTCCTTCTAACTTTAGATTCTGCTCCTGAATGCTCTGGATTTCCAGACCTTTGATTCTCAGCAGCTGAACAATAACCAGCCTCGTTTTTGTTTCTGTGCAGACGTCGAAGCTCCAATCGTTCAGCAGCCGACAAACGCCAGCGAGAAAACTCAGCTGATCATCGATGGACACCGTAGATACGGAGACACGTACACATGAAGCCAGCAGGAAACAGGAAACACATCACCGACCCACCTGACGCAGTCATCGAACTCAAAACAACGCCTAATGATTCCTGCAGGTGGATCTGCATGAACAGTGCACTGTAAAAAAATGAGCACAAAGTAGATTCTATAAACTGAATTAAAGTTTGACGTTAAAGCAACAATCTGACTTTTAAACAAAAATATCCTGTTTCACTAATCAGATTTTTGAGCTCCTTCACCTGTGTCACACCTGTGTGTCAGTATAGAGAAGCACATAAGGGATACAGGTGAACCCTCGTTAAAACATGACCTCAACAAGATCCAGACCCTCTGTTAAAACATGACCTCAACAAGATCCAGACCCTCGTTAAAACATGACCTCAACGAGATCCAGACCCTCGTTAAAACATGACCTCAACGAGATCCAGACCCTCGTTAAAACATGACCTCAACGAGATCCTGACCCTCGTTAAAACATGACCTCAACGAGATCCTGACCCTCGTTAAAACATGACCTCAACGAGATCCAGACCCTCGTTAAAACATGACCTCAACGAGATCCAGACCCTCGTTAAAACATGACCTCAACGAGATCCTGACCCTCGTTAAAACATGACCTCAACGAGATCCTGACCCTTGTTAAAACATGACCTCAACGAGATCCTGACCTCGTTAAAACATGA